ATCATAGTATATAATATAATATATTATTAGTTTTCTAATCAATTAAAGTGAGTTGGTTGTATAATATAATTTTTTTAATAATTATATTAAAAGCATTGCATGAAAAGAGGAAGCAATGATGGGACATATATAATATATATATATACACACACACACACACACAATATATAAATGCGATGAAGATCATAGATGGATAAATAAAGTTTTTCTTGTATTAAAAAATGTGCAAAATTGGGTGCTACGTCGTAGGTTTGAGCGGGGACTATCCGTACACGTCGACCCACCTACCTTATTAATTAAAGCTCTTTAATTTTTTTAATAATTAATATTTTATTATTATTGTAATTTTAATTTTAGTATCTTTTAATTAATTATTATTTTTAACCCATTAGCTGTTAATTAATCAGAGTTAATTAAAGTTTAATTTCCCTTCGATTCCAACTCCACTAAACCATCAACTGGAATGTCTCAAGAAGAACTGCGATGCAAAAATTGGAAAAATGTTTAACCGATGGTTGTGGTGAGTTCATGTCTGAGGGACGAAGGATGTTCGACCGAAGCCTCTGAGAATGCGCCGAAGGAAAAGACAGAGACTTCTTGGAGATGAAATTTTGAAAAATTGCGAGAAAAGAATGACTTCGATGGCTCCAAATTTTTGTTGTGTGGTTTTTATACCAGAATGGTTTTTAGCGGAAGAGATTGAAGAAGATAATAATTACAACTTTCATTTTTCCTTCATTTAAAAACTTATGTTAAATTTGGAAAAACTCAAGAACTATTTTATAACCAAAGACATATTTAGATTTAAATGAAACATGAAAATTATCACCTGATGGATCCCTAAGATCAAAACAAGATCCTCCATCTAAACTATAATCCCTGCTCAACCTTCTGCAATCAACGAAAAACTCTTCGATATGCAAAAATACAACTTTCAGAATGCGAGAGCTGGCAACTTCGAACTAAAATAATAAGCTGCTAAATTTGTTTAAAGTCAAGACCCCTGGATTCCCATCAAGTAAGTTGGAATGTGATATCTCTTATCACATACATGTAATTTAATAATGTCACCAAAAATCTAAGCTGCAAAATCAAAAATGAGACAGAAGAAACAAGCATGGAACTTTCTGACTCCTTACATTCATGAACACCCCAAAATAAACCAAGAAAATTACTGAGAGACACCCAACCATTTGGAGAAATTTTCAAACTCAGTGTAATCACTGTCGCTTATCATAGTTTTGAACCAATTCTTTCCAGCAGCCTTGATTGCAGCTGCTTCCTCCTGAAAGAAACAGAAAAACATAAATAAATTTACATGAACAAACATATTAACCTACACCATTTGTTAACAGGCATACAATTGAGCCAAACAAGTTAAAAGACTCCATGACTCGACCGCAATAATATGTTTACAGTTACAAGTTATACATGCAAACTAAATCACTATTTAACCGAAACAAATACAAACTAAAAGTGAAACCATACTTTAAGATATGTTTTCAAAGTAAAGCAAGATTCTTTTTGTTTTCATTAGAGATAATGTTAAGGCATGCAATCATCAGTACCAAAACAGGGTAAAACCATCCGTACATTAGTATAACAAACAGATATAATATACTTCAACCCTCAAATGAAAATAATAAATTGAATTACATACAAGTTATTCTTGCAAATAGGAGCTGCTACTCCACTAGAAAGAATACTTACAGCTATACATACAGATATAATAATTCAAATGAAATCCTTTCAAGCTAGAAACTGAAACTTCTTCATGTTATGTTCATCAAATACAGAAGCATAAATCATTCGACCACTAAACTAAAGAAATTGGATTAGCAACAAGCAGAACTAAATCAAGAGACAAACAATTTCAAGAAGCGAGACCAAACTTTAACATCCAAAGTAATATAATAATGACGAATTACAACGTATTCCAGACATATAGAATTCCCAGTGTGCAAAGTTATAAAAGAAATGAAAAGACGACAGCTCAAAGTAAAGCGAGATACCTTTGTAACAGGTTTCCTCTTCTTCTCCAGCTTATCCTTCTTAGACTTGACGCGCTGGGCCTCGGCCAAAAGAGCCATCCTCCTCGCTGTCTTGGCGTAAGGGTTGAGTTTGAGCATCACATTGAGGTTCTTCAGTGGGTTCTTCTTCATCTGCGCCCTCTTCACCTCCTTCTTGATCGGCTTGACGACTGACTGCACCTCGTCCGAGTTGATGATTCTGGACAAGTCTGCATTCACCATCTTAGAACGTGGCAGCACGTAACCCTTCTTGCTCTCCGATGGCTTCTCGAAGGTACCATAAATAGAATCCAGCATCTCAAAAGCAGATTTCGTCCAGATCACGAACCTTCCCAAGTGCCCACCAGGAGCCAACTTCAGTAGATTCAATCTCTTCACATTCGCCACCTCCACACCCGGAATATTCCTGAACGCTTTCACCAGCTTGGCACCTTCAGTACCATACACGATCAGTGGACCCTTGCGCGAGATATAACGACGGTTCCTCATCTTACCTTTTCCAGGACGAATGGCGTGGCTGTCCTTCGCCTTCTCCGCATCAGGATACGCACCAATCTGCTTCAACACCTTGATAGCCGCCGAAGTCTTCTCAACCCCCTCCGCTGAGTCACTAATAACCAGTGGCATTTCCGGCACAGATTCAATGCGATGGCCACGAGCCATCACCAAGGAGGAGATAGCAGAGGCGGCGATGGCCGAAACAACTGCGTACCTCTTCTGATTCACATTGATTTTCCGGTGCCAGCGGCGCCAGATCTTCGTCGGAGCGAACATACGCCCACCACGGCACATGTTCCCGAATGCACCCTGGCCCGCGCGGTGTGTACCGCCACCGGGAACACGGGGGATACGGGAAACGGCGCGACCAGTACCCCAGGACTCGGCCGAAGTCTGGTGACCGGCACGCTTCGACACCGCATATGGCTGGCGGCTATTCTTTGAGATATTGGCGTGAACGAAGTTCACGATATCTGGGCGGATTGAGGCTTTCATGACATCGGGAAGGGTTACAGTGGCAGCTGAATCAGTAGCCATGTCCCCCTCCAGGGGCTGGACGGTGACGAGAGGTCGGGATGCTGCGGCGGCCATTTTCTTCTTCCTGGTTTTGCAGATGAAGAAATGCTGCGAAAGTAAATATATACCTAGGGTTTAGTCGGAAAAAAAAAATAATAAACCGAGGGAGTAGGGATTAGGGTTTTATTTCTTTTTTCTTAAATTGCAAACATGATCTTCAATTTTAGATATTGTTCAATTTTGTCCCAACATTTAAAATTATTACAAAACAGTCCCTAAATTTTAACATTTTTTTTTTTTTTTTTCTAATAGCATCTTTTTCAAGTTAAATTAACTCATATCTTAAAATAAATTTATTTGTAACTTAATTGATATGTACCAATCATATTGTAAAAGAAATTATTAAATAAACTACACTTATTAAAACTTAACTACAATAAAAAAATAAGTAACCAAATTAAAAAAACAAATAGTGAAATGATTAGGAATTTTTTTTTGTATAATTAAGCTACGTTCTTCTATTTTAATGTCTTTGATTAATAGTTTAATTTTAATCTACCATGAGTTTTCTTTTGTATTGGATCGAAGATTGAGATGCTTAGTTCTTAATTTTTAATTTATTTAAGTGTTTAGCTTTATCTTTTTAGTTTAATATCATACTCTTAAAAAAAATAAAAAAATTTAAGTGGAGGACATCATTAACCCCATATGGTACTTAAGGAGCTTATTCACTTGGAGTTCAAAGGAAACTTTTCCTTTCTCTATCAATTTTGATTTTTTATACTTAGTCTTTACTTTTAGTTTTATAAATCGCGAAAGAAAAAACTCAGAATAAATCATGCCCTTTATGTTTCGTAATTTCATACGTTCTCCTCCTCCATCCTTTTTCTCCATGTACACTTTTGCATAGATCATATTTTAAGAAAGCTTTTAATTTTAATTATTGCGTTTTAAAAATATACTTACAGTTATCATATAAAATAAAATCTATTTTTAATAAAAATTAAAATTTAATAAATTTAAATACAAGTTTGATCGGGTTCTTACTTGAGAGAATATTGAATTCTCATATAATAAGTCATTAAAATTAAACAAAAGATAGATAAAAAAAAAAAAATTCAATTATATTCTTAAATTTCTACTTATTTCTTTCTTCGTCTTATCAAAGAAAACTAAAATACTTGACAACCCTATTAATTTTTCTTTTCTAATTGATTTGTTTAATTTTTAATGTTGTATTTAAAATGCAGGACATCTGCATATGTTCTCGTAACGAGTCTTTCGATTAAAAAAAAAAATTTACATTACAGTTTGACTAAATGACATTAAAATTGTTACCATTTTTCTTTAAAAATAAACAACCATGCCCACACTACAAAACCTATATCAAATTGAGATAGATGACAATACATTTCAATGAGCTATTAGAATCATCTTAGTTTAAGCAGGAAAATAAGCAACTCTTCATATGATGGCTTGCAAACAATGTTGTCTTTTGATTAAAAATAATAACAAATAATGTTATACTACTCATACAACAGTACAAAATTTGGGCACAAGACAAGTAATTACACGCACAAGCCAGAAGTATATCACTTGCAATGGTTTATTCAAACTCTCATGGTTACATTGCCCAGGTAGCACAATGCGCAATTAGATATTTTTGGGTATATCTCAAAAACAACAGTGGAACCTCCATTAAAATAGACTTCATAAAACTATTCACAAATTTCTCGTTTTGAGTGATTGTAATCATTTCTAACTGAGGTCATTAGATCTGGATATCAAAACAGACCATAATATTAGTTGAAAACCTTCAAGAACTCCCTTACATCTCTCTTCATGGCTACGACTGGATGTCCCCAACTTCCGACTTTCCTGCCATTCTGTGCAAAGAATCATTAGTTACTCTCAGTTCATGGATTGAATATCGAAGGCTTACTACGACTATGACCAGAGATCTTAGACAGAGTGAAGGAAAAAGGGGAAAGAGAAATATAAAAGAAAAACATACTTGTCAGTAATTCAAGCTCAACATGATACATCATTTGTCCCGACACCCATTCCCACTGTTTTTGTATTAACATCATATGATGAGAGGACCTTCCTCTGAACAAACCAAGAAGATCACCTAGCTTAGGTTAGAGAAACATCACTGGAAATATATATGAACCTGGGCAATGACCAACCAAGATCAAAGATGTTAACTAGAGTAATCTTACATTGTCATTCTCCAGTCTTAAATCATGAAAAATGAAACAAACTATGAAAGCATTCTAGAGGTAAAAAAAGAATCCAATAATCATTATATTTATCTGGTGTTGATCTTTTCTCTTTTCTCTTTTACCCGCAGTAGTTATTGTGTCCTAGAAATTAAGTTATTTTCAAATAATAAAAAAGAAAGTTTCCTAGCAAATTCTATTTTTATAAAATGTATTCTTTAACCTTTGGAATGTGAAACTTCCTTAGAGATTTTATTCTTTTCAAGAATGTGGATGGTTCAAATTAGAAGTAGCTACCAGAATTCTTATGGATAGTTAGAAAAGATCTTGTTTTTCTTGAAGACCAAAGCAAATGTCAAAAAACTTAATGATATCAGATTCATATAATTTTGCAATTGAACTTGGAAAAAGAAAATGAGGATGGAAATACAAATACATGCTTCAGTTGAAAACTGTTCCTCGCAACAAGTGCACACATCTTTTGCAACTAAAAATTGAAACAAATTATTGAAAAATAAGATACTTACAATTGGCTCAAAATCGGGATTACACAGGTTAAGGGTCATATTCCTCATCAATAACAAAACCTGCACACAGGTTACAAAAAAATTGCAATTATATACAATAACTTTTGAGAACTTAAAATGAGGGAAGTTTTAAGCAGCACCTATGACATGAACACAAAATTTTTTTTTTGAATAAATTGTGTTGTTAGGTCAAGTTATGACTAAATATAATCATTGAAATGTAGTCAGATATTAGAAAAGTACATCATGCCATCTGGAAATTCAGAGACATGAAATTATCACAAGTACTAAATGATCAAGCCATGAATTATTTATTTATTCATTTAAGTTCACTTACATACATCTTGATTTGATAAGGAATTAAACAAGCCACATTGAATCACATGTTGCACAAAACGAAGTCACAAGCTCGTGTACGAGGCTTGTGATATTTAGGTACTACAATGTGTTTATGTCAGCCAATTTGGGAAGGCTTATCCTCCATAAACTACTGTCTGTGCTATTGCTTCATTTTGTTTTGTGCTTTTTTTTTTCCCATCTTCTGAGAAGACTTATTTGTCATTGTTTAAGTAATATGTAATTGATCTAGAAATGTATGAGAACCAAACTCATAGTATGTCAATTGGCACCATTAATCCGAATGTTTAGAGTAGAGACCATCTAAAGTGCCATCAGGTTAAGTGTATTTTAACTCACAGTTTCAAAATTTATAGGATCCATTTCCTTCAGTTTTTGCACATGACCTTTGGTGTCTGGATCAAAGACGCTCCCGATGAAGCTATACACTTCCGCAAAATCTGGTAGACCTACAAAAACAAGGTAAAGTTAGAGAGCTCACCTTTTCACTAGAGCACATAGAAACACTTCAGGCAATGGACAAAAATCCACTGTAATCCAGATGATCACCATGGAGAATGGGAGTTTGTTTCCCCTGCTTTGGCATCTCAGAACCAGATATCAATCTACTTGTGCTTCCAAAACCAGTAATACCGGTGTTACCAATTCTTGCTACACCCTTTGATCCAATATCAGCTGAATCAGTAATGTTATATGCCATAAGAAATGCTGGAAAGTTCCTTTCAGTAAAGCTACTCTACGGATAACAAAACACATCCACATAACACATAAAGAAGTATGCACACCTTCGGCTCCACGAATATTGGTAAATTCATCCTGCAGTGGCATGATTTTGCTTGAGGCTGTATGTATAATCAAGGAAGCTTCATCCCATGAAGCATATCCGGGTGAAACAGTGTTAAGTGAAGAAGGATAGGCCATGGATGCTTGCAGAGGCATTAGAACTGATAATTAGATAGGAGGTCAGATTGTTGGCATTGACAGGCAATTTATTCAATTAAATGAATTATTTTATTTGTGAGATAGCCAAACCATTTTCGGTGTAAGATAGCCAAACCATTTTTCGGTGCCTTTTGAGGGTAAGGATGGGCAGCTTTGCGCTTGGGGCGAGGAGGAGGAACATGGGCGATTGTCCCATTTTTCTGGACCTTCAAGAAATATTTTTGGGCATGACTCCTGATCTGCAAAGGCAAAGATTTAAGGGAAGAATGAGCGAGAAACAAGAAACAGAAAAGGTAACCAACCAATCTGGAGTATTGCCTTCTAACCTGGATCACTGTCTTTGAACCCACAAAATCTTCAATCTTTTTCCAGTCTCGATCGAACCTGATCAAAGAGGAAAAACACCCAAATGTCAAGCTTAGGATATAGTTCCAAATATGACACATAAAAAGGTAAAAATTCCCCACTTCCCGTTAAATTACACTTTTAGCAATCATTTCAAACTAACTCTTCTCTGATACAAAGCCTCAGAGTACTATTTGGAAGGATTAACAAAAAAAATGATTAAGAAAGACAACACATGGCTAATATAGAAAGCTACTTCGGCAGTTGTTAGATTGATATTCAAATTGCCAACAAAAAAATTAGTTTTTTTTTTCTTAAGTTGAGAATTGTCAATTGAATAGTAAAATTCAAAACATAATTCAGTGATTAAAATTTATTGTCATGTATATATATTTAAAAGAATAAAGGAAATAAAACAATTCAAGAAATTTATATTAATATTATAAACAGTTAAGAAAATATTTGTTCAAAAAGCAATTTGTGGAGGTATTATAAGTTATAAATAAGCATCTACATATTTGATTAATTTAATTGGAACTAAAATGGAGTGAATCATAGAACTTTTGAATCAAATCATGGAGTTTACTATCAAATTCAACAATTCACTTATGTATCATGGCATATTATAATTGACCCATATAATTTAGATCTTTTTATTAGTTAATAGAATTAAATTTTAAAAATACAACTCATGAATTTATATGCTAATAACAGTGACTCCTCCCACGTTGGTAGGTGGCACCATCCCACATATGTGACTTCTTATCCTCGGTTTCAAGCCATTGAAACCAAAAAGCTGTTAGGCTAATTTGAATTTAAAAAAAATTCGAAGATCATTAATTATCGACAATACAATCTGCAGGAGAAACACAAAACAGTCCCTCCTAAAGGGAATTTTTTGCTAACTTCAGTCAAAACAAGGTTAAAAACTCTCTACTGAGACACAAATTTCTAAATATGAAGAAGGCAGTAGTCTAAACACATCTACTTTCATATCCTTAACCTTTCAATAACGATTTGTCCCGAATGGACGGCATAGTCAATTTTATCAGAAACCTAACAAAAGATGTTTGACTCAAGTCAAAATATGACAAACTTATAAGTTATTTCGATATCCTACAAAACTTTTAATATGAAACTATTAAATAATTGATTGAAAGATTTTCTATCTTTGTTCACATTCAACAATTACAGGCATTATGTTTTTTCAGTCCGATCATTCCTAAACAAATTGCGTTTCAGAAACTTTATGATCTCCAGCATTTCTTGAATAATTAACAGCAAAATACTGAATGAACTTCATGCCGACACCAAAAAAACCCCCAAACCACGAAAAAGAATGCGCTGATCATCACTAAGTACAACAAACTAGCAGAGTAACAAACGATGGGAAAAATGATATTAAAACAAAAAGGAAGAGAGAGAGAGAGAAGGTACGGTACAGTTGAAGAGCTTCGAGGAACTTGTCGTGCTCCTCTTCGGTCCAGCTCTCACGAGACTTGGTGATGGTGTAGGGTTTCCTTACCTTCTTGCCAGAGGCATCGGTAGGTGTCGATGATGAAGAAGTGGACGGCGTTGACGACATGGACGGAGGAGGTTGTGAAGCAGGTGGAGGATTCGGTGATGATGAGGAATTCATAGTTCTGTGGTGGGAGAAGAATTCCCGAGGGAAAGTCCTGTTTTCCACCAATGGTCGGCAGGGGGTGACTCGCCCACCACCACAATAAATGTCTGGTTCCTGACGAGTGGAGATCGTCGACCACGTGTTAGTGTCTAACAGATCCGCAACCGTTCCATGGGGCACAACTAGGCACCAATTAGGCCTACTCTCTCCTTGGATCTTTTTTTTTTTTTTTTTTTTTAAATTTATATCTTATTTAAAATTTATAAACTCAAATGTTATTAAAAAATAAAATTTATTATTTTATTAATATATTATAAATAAATAATTATTAATTTATAATATTTAATATAATAAAAATTAAATTTTAATTTATTAATATATTGATAAAATTGTGTGACTGAATTAGATGTAATCATATTCAATAATAATATATTTGAATTTTTTTTTTATTGAAGAAAAATAAAAAAAAGATACTTTGATTTAAATTTAAAAGTATTAAAATATTTACCGGTCAAACTTGGTGAAGGAAGTGTTTTCTTACTATTATTATTATTATTATTATTATGATAAATGTGAGTCTTGTTTTGGTAATTTACTCTTAATCTTATTAGTTTAGCGCTCTAATTTGATTTATTTAGTGATTTATGTTTAATTAGGTTTAATTGTTTAATTTGCTAGTACCACTGTCAATGGTCCCACCAAATGAACAAAACAATTGAGTATGTATGATTTGTTGTTTTCATGCATAAGAAAATTAAATGATTTATAAAATTAAGAATATTGTGAATTTAAATTAAATTGAAATTATGTAAAAATAAAGTTTATAAATATATTTAATTGGGACAGAATATGTTTGAATTTATTTTAAAAAACTCGTTAAACTCAATTTTATGCTATTTGTTAATTAAAAAATAATATATATATATATGATATTAAATATACACAATAAAAAAATTGTGGGTTCATCACCAATTATCTCTAACTAATAATATATGAATTTTATTAAAAAAAGAATTATTAATCTATACTATTACTGGCCTTATCCATCGAGGACAATCCACGTGGCAGAATCTAGGGCTTTGTTAGATAAGATTAAGATGAAGATGATGAGCAAAGAGAAGGTCTGTGCTTGGACGTCGATGGATATTCAAGCTCGAATAGGAAACCTCACATGTTACGGCTTTTCTTCAACATCTTCCTCCTCACCTTCTCCCTGTAGATTTCTCTGTTCGCGTAAAGACTCTGAAAACTCTCAGCAAAATGGTGAGCTTCTCATCTTATGATTTGCTTGATTTTGGATTAAGAGTTGATTTCCTTTATGAATGTTAAGTTCGTTTTATCTTATCAGGAAGGAAATAGGAAGCTAGCATCATGTTCTTCATAGTTATATTCTATTTCTGTTATGGGTTTAAGGAAATAGGAAAGTAGCATCATGTTCTTCTTAGTTATCTTCTATTTCTGTTATGGGTTTTGTGCATTTGCTGGAAATGATACGTGCCTCATGTAAAATTCTCTAAATTAGTGCTAGTATCAAGTTTATTGGATTCATTACTCTTTCCACTATCCAAAGCTAATACTAGGAGGAGACGTGATATTTCTTACCACTTCAAATTAGGCATAAACAGGAAAAGGAAACTATTTTTTACGATGCCAAATTGACTGAAAGATGCTTATGATCCATGATTGAGGGCAGTTGAATGAAATTTTATAGTAGTCATTGTTAGATTTTAACACTAATAGAGTTGCCTAATAAGTATATAAATTACTTGAGATTTTTATATGACCCATGATTGAGGTAATAGTTTAGAATCACCTCTGATAGCATGATAGATTGTTATTGATCAAAACAGTAACCAAATATGAGGATCAAAATGGTTTATTTATTTTTTGGGCCATTTTCGTAAGCTACATAATTTTTGTTAGAATCTGACAGTCACATAATCTTTTAAAACGTTTTAGACTCGTAATATCTTTAAGTCAGAATCTTGCTAACGCAGTCAAGTTATGATGCTTATGCAAGCCTTAGCGACAGACTCTTCTCTTGTAACTAGAGGGGATTGAGAGAGGGTGCTTATGAGATGATTAGTAATTCCCTCCTATTATATATTGCCTTTGATTGTATAGAGAGCTAGTACATGACCCTTGTGTCATGTAGAAAATAATTGTCTTTGGATGATATAGGTATACCGATATTATTTTTTGTCGACTGGTTCATTGGAATTGTCATTTTTCCCTTATTTTGACTGAGAAAAGGTTAATGGAATCTATCATTTTGAATTGCTACAAAAGTCAAGTAACTTTTCGTATATCTCAGGTGATAAGTTCTCAACTGACTGGGATAAAGCATGGTCAAACTTCAAGAAACAAGGGAAAAAATCCCTCTTCTCTCAGTTTTCTCCAGATAAATATGTTAGTTGGAATCCAAGGCGTTCGGAATACCCACTATCTGAGGAGGTCGATCCTATTAAGAGGACAGAACGATCGAACCTACAGCTGTGGACAAGTCCAGAGTTTACTCTCGGAGGAGCTATTGTAATACTAACATTTCTTCTGATCTACACAATTCTTGCACCAGTCAAATAATCTGATATAGTTTTTGTTTCCCTACGAACGACTAAATGGACAGAGGGAAGTGGTTTAGGAAAGAGAATTGTAAATTTAAGTCAAGCTAATTTATTTCACAACGATTCTAGATTCTCAAGTGCAATGATCTTTACAATGTTAGACCTAAGTTATTTGTAAACATAGTATGTAAGTATTTTAGGACAGACTGTATAAATCTTGAATATAAATAAATTACTTATTAAAAATTAATAAGAATACATATTTGTTATCAACTCTAGAGAGCCATGACTAATTCTTTCTTTCTTCTCTTTTCTAGAGTCACAAGAAGATGACTTAGCCATATGCAAAAATACAGTTCAATTTTTCCAACTAAATCACAAATTCCCAACTAAATCATGACCCACAAATTTTTTTCCGCAACCAACTATTTTGAGATCCTTAGTTTTAGCTTCGATCCTCTATGTTTGTTCTTGAACTTTTTTCAAATTAGCTGGAGATCATTTGTAGGTTGATCTCAACTGTAAAGATGAATACATGTAGACTTGATCTGCGCGTTTTTCAGACTAGAGCTTTCGAGGATTTTCTCAGCTTCCAGAAGATGTTTTACCAACCAAATAAGCTGTATATCCAAGTGTTAGCAGATTCAAAACTCATACACTTGAAATGGGAATTCATTTACATTTTCTTTGCTGTTTTCTATTCTATGTGGACCTTTTTGTCCTTTAATAATTGCTCGTCATATGCAGCAGCAATATCGGCTAGAGACGGAAAAAAACATAGTGTTTAAAATAAACCAAGTGATGAAGGTTTTCTCCGCGTGTTAAATGTCTTAAATCATGGAAGTAAATTAAAAACTGATTTGATCCTCTTCAAAGTTCCACTAGCAAATTCTTATTATATGAAGAAGACAGACAGTAAGTTTGTCTGGTTAATTTTCCTACGAGTCTCTTTAGAGTCATTTTCATGGGGGGACATCATGAACCCAACATTGAAAAACATAAAGAGCATGACTCAGAAGCTGGTTTGGTCATGAAAGTAAATCATGGACTTTGACTTCCTTCTTGTATTGCATCAAAGTGATTTAATTACTACAGCTAATTCTCCTTAATCATAACCACAAGTCATCTCTTCTCTCAATTTATGTAGATTCGAGCTCGTAATCTCTCGTGACTATCTCACCAAATCGATTTTACTTGGTCTCTCTTTTACCATCTTATTTTTTCAAATTATGATGTGTTTCAAAGATTTGTTAATTTAAAAAGATTGAAATGTCAAATTATGAGTTAGTTGTTGGAAGGAAGCCAAGAAATTATGGGTGGACATAAAGCTTTGAAATTGACTATATATATATTGGGTATTTGAAGAAACAAAATCCAAGTTTATTGAAACTATGTCGAGAAAAGCATATTATGATCACTTCTGCGAAACAGTGCCAAAAAAAATTTCAACCCAAGAAAGATGGCCATGTCTTCAAAGAAATTACAATATAATATATACATACACACACACACACACACACACACGTGCCCATTACTCCCTATTATATATGACATTACCCTGTGTCCACTTCATTTCATGTTCTCTTCTTTATTCTTTCTTTTCACCATTAGAGACAAAAGTGAGCTTAACTTGTATTTTTCTACTTGAAAATTTGGGCAATGGCCATAACCAAAGTAGAAGGCAAAGCAAGGGAAAGGAAGAAGAGGAAGACAAGGTTGCCTCCAAAGAGAGGAGAAATCAAGCTCAAGATTATCTCTTACATTGCAAAGTTGGCAAGAGAAGTAGCTTCAGAAGCAGGGAGATTACTTAGCAAAAAAAAAGAGGTTTGATGTTGAAGGATACAAATGAATTTTCCGCCACAAGTTGTAATCTACAATCAAATAAAAGTAAGAAAAATATTTCGATCTATGTTGGAGATTATATCTATTTCTACATTCAAGATTTGACCTTTATTTCAATAAAAAAAATTGTTCGATTCATTAGTTTACGAATTCTCTGTGTTGTTTAGTATACTTAATAGTTATAACATATTATATCATTATAAATTAGTTAAATTTATTTCAAAATTTGTCAAGAATTATGAAAAAAAACTAAAATGTATAAATTATATTTATAGTATTTGATAATTTATTCGTACTATTAAAGCATTCATAATAATTTTTCTTTTTACAGTACCTATTAATTAAAACTTATTTTTTATAAGTTTTTGTGCAAAATTTTAAAATGAATTAATCATATTTTTAACCTCCGTCGGCTAATATACGTAATAATTAATCGAAAAATTATTAATTGTTTTAGGAAAAAAAAAAAAAAACTAAACACATTTATAAGAATTGTCAACTTATTCATTCTCTTGAAATAGTTATGCCTAATTTGGCTGGAAATTTGAGTTTGATTTTTGCGTTTCATAACTATTTTACAACCGAATAAATAAAACTTAAAGTATTTTTACAAAATAAGAGTCAAAATACATGTTTTGTGAGTTTAAACACAAAATAATTATTTATATTTTTTAGAAAATGACTTTGACTATCATTAAAAATTTACATTTAAAATTTCAAAAATTATTTTTATTAAATATACAACGTTTATCATTTTGAAGTGACAATATTTTATAAAATTCTTTTTTTCAGACACTAAACTTAATATAAGTCAATTCTGTGATAAAAGTTATAAAATTATATATTAATCGTGCTATTATTAGTTATTAATTAGCTAAATCTATGAAAATATTTATCTTATAAATCTTGATGATACGCTCACTTTACATCAAACTTATTTGGCATTTCTCTGTGAGGATAGTGGTAAGCTTACCAAAAATAAAATTACCAAAAAAAAAAACCCAAATATGTAGTCTCCATATCTAGACCACTTCAACTCCTCTATTTTGACTTATTTGGATCAATTAGGACAATTAATTCGGATGGACATAAATATACATATGTTATATATTATTGAAAAAAATTCATATCATATAAAGATGGAATGAATAAAATACTCACAATATTTTGTAAAAGAGTATAAAAAGAGGAAGAGACTAGTAATCATTTATTTTGTAAAAATCAATTTTTAATCATTTATTATGATGAAAACGACGTTAAACCCATATTTTTATATTCTATAATTTAAAAAAAAAATTAAAATGTGAGAAGAAAGAATAAAATAGTAGAAAAAATAATAAGAAAATATTTATGTGAATTAACTTAATAAAAAAAGACTCTTTATGAACTTTAAAAAGATATAAAATTCGATAGTGATTAATTTAAAATTTTTGGGTGTAAATAATAGACGCTAAATAATAATAAAAATAATTTTAAAAAAATTTAATGTCAAAAGAAGGGTATATTTTTAAAATATCGATATATAGTAAGATTTATAATAATAATAATATTATTATAATTAAAAATTTAAAAATTATTGTTATTAATTACACGTGAAGTATTTAAAATATATAAATTATTATTTTTAAGTACTTTTTAGTTAAATAAATATATGGGTTAAAAGTTTAGGTTAAATTAATAGTTCATAAGTTATTTTATTTTAATGTGTTCGTATATCTCCCAATAAAATTAAGAAAAATTAATTCTAATTCACCCGATTATGATGCAGAAGAGCTTCAATCTCCTCCACACTATCAAACACAAGAGGTACTTACACGCATTTTACGATTTTTTTCTCTTCAAATTTTGTAATTTATCCACGCGTAAATAATTCCACTGCATTCGCTGATTAGAATTGACAAATTCTAGGTCTTGGATTCTTACTCTTTTCGATTGTTGAATGGATTGAGCAAAGCAAAAAACTCTTTCGATTTTTCAAAATTTTCTATTGATATTTTGATAATCTTTCTCGTTATTCGCTACTTGTTTAGTTCATTGAAGTCGATGCAACTGCGTGTTTTTTTGAGTGTTCTGGAGCGTAAGAAGGTTTATGGTACACATTGAAATTGATTTGTTGTTGTCGCAAAGTTTAAGCTGTGATATGAGGTCTAACGTTTTCAGTTTGGTGTAAAAAAAAAGTGAGCAATGGATAGTAGAAGAATTGAAATTCTCTCTGAATTATGCTGTTATCCTTGTTAAGTAGGCGCTCTTTGGAGATTGAATCCAGGTAATTAAATTGCAACAATCGTGATCTCGATTTTGATGATACTCCGTGGTTGGTCGAATTTGTGACTGGATTTTCTTTTCTTTATCTTGTTTTCTAGTTTGTGATGCAATGTTGAAAATGCTTATATTAGGATATTAGATATTGGGTGAGCTTCATCTTTTATCATTCCTATTTTCGGGTAATCTGAAAAATCATGATTTGAGATTGATATGGTAGGGACGCCTATGGATTTGCACTGAGACCTCAACATATTCAAAGATATAAAGAGTACGCAGGTATCTACAAGGTAATTCCGGCCTATGCTTATTTTATTCCTTTTAATCCTGTCTGGTTTCCTGTTGTAAGTATGGTAGTTATACGGTCATGTCATCTTTCTGAAATGGTTTAACATCCAAACTGGCAAGAGGAAGAATAATCAAGCAATTTTATTTATGCCTATCCCCGATGTAATGATATATCAAATTAAACCAGGAGGAGGAAGCAGAAAGAGTAGAAAAATGGAAAATCTTCCTTGAACGGGAGGAAAATTCTGCTCAACAGTGCTATTCTGTCAAGGAACAAAAGAAGGCGGTGCAGGCCGAGGACAGTGAGTTTATAGAAGCAAGTGCTTCTGAGAAGGGCAGCGAAGGGAATGATTCCATTGGGGAAACATCTGAATCTGACGGTTCAAAGGAATGTGAGTCAGAAGAGTTGCTACTTCCAAGTGAAAATGAATATGAAATTTCAGGAGAAAGTGAATTTAGACAAGCAGTGCAGCTTCCAGAAGAAAGTGAACCCAAAAATGAGGAGAATCATCCTGAAGAAAGTGAACTCAAAAAGGAGGTGCAAGAAGGTGAACCTGAACTTCAAAAAGAAACTGGACCAGAAAAACAAGTCCACCTTCCAAAAGAAAGAGATGAAAGTAAGATCCGAGAATGGGCTCAGATTAGACCATCCCTTGCTGCAATTGAAATTATAATGAGTTCTCGTGTTAAAAGGGGAAATAATATAAAAGAAGAGCAAGAAGTGGAAAGTAGAGGAGACCGTCTTTCCTTAGTAACAGAAGTCAGAGGAAAATTCAAGGAGGAGACATCAGCTGATGACTTGAATGCCTCCAGGGAAGAAACCACTGCAGGGATAGAAGTTGCTCCAGAGCCTTTCATTCCTTGGAAAGATGAGCTACAGGTTCTTGTTCGTGGGGGAATTCCAAAAGATCTCAGGGGAGAGGTTATATTCACAATATCAAGTTAATTTATCTGTTATCTTTATTATGGTTGTATCATATTCTAGGGGAAGTAATATACTATACTACTTCCACTTCAGGTATGGCAAGCTTTTGTAGGTGTTAGGACTCGACGGGTAGAGAGGTACTACCAGGACTTGCTTGCTCAAGTAACTAATGCAGATGAAAGCAATGATCATAATAACGCATCAAGGAAATGGAAAAGGCAGATTGAGAAGGTCATTAGATGCATGCGCCTTGGACTTTATCCTTCAATCTTTTCAATTTGTAGGTGCTACTTCTTTTGCCTTGTATTGCTACTCACATTTCTCACTAGACTAATCTTATGTTTGCATTACAGGACATACCACGAACCTTCCCTGGTCATCCTGCTCTCAATGATGATGGTCGAGATTCCTTGAGGCGTTTACTTCTAGCATATGCTCGACATAATCCATCAGTTGGCTATTGTCAGGTGATTTGGTCTGTGAATATCATTCAGCTAGCATTTTCTTTTATTTATTGGCTTTTGCAGATGTCTCAACTTTCAGTTGTCTCCACAAATTTGTGAATATTTCTGATAGTAGATAAAGCCCATTGATTTGCGTTATTGCTGTCACCAACTTTGTGGAATGTTTACTAGATTTGGTTAATCACTTACAAGTAATCTCCTTGTTACTTAAATTTTGCTCCTAAACTCCACGCATTCAGAAACTTCCTGTGTTCTTGTCTTTCTTTCATATTTATGATCCTTTTCTCTTTAACCTTCCTTGCTTCCTTTTGTCTTTTGATGCCTTTATTCACTCTTCCGCATCTATTTTCAGCATCTCTCTCAGAATTTCTTCTATCCCTTCTGAGTTTTCATGTGTCTTATATGATTGAGACTTGTAATTAATTGATCCTTTAGAAAAAAAAAACAAAATTAATTGTGGGGCCTCATCATTTGATATTTGAAATTGATGTAAATTTGATTTTTAAGTTGCATATTGATGTTTTGAAAATCCAGGAAGTCGTTGAACAAATTACTGTTGCAGTAGATAATAAATTGGTGGTGACCAACAATGGGTAACCTAATATGGATAGGTCTCACTCTTGGAACCAATTAATATTTGAAAATGATGTAAACTTGAATATTAAGTTGCTTGTTGATATCTCAAAGTTCTTGGAAGTCCTTATCCACATTCCTGTTGCAATTTTTTTTGATAGTCTTTTAATTTTCTTCAAATTGTTGGCAATCTCCAGATTGACATGGTTAACTTAATTACATATAACTTGGCATTCAAAAAAGTGCAGGCAATGAATTTCTTTGCTGGTTTGTTGCTACTTTTGATGCCAGAGGAAAATGCATTCTGGTAGGTCCATGTCTCTCTCTCTTGCTTGCTTGCTCCAAAAAAGATTCTCTTGAAGCATTTTGAGGACCTATTTCTCTTTGGAAATTATTTGCAAGTTTGCATTCATGATTTTCTTTTGTGTTTTGGGATGAGGAAAATGTATGAAATGCAAGTTTTTATCGCATTTCTGCAAGAATCAATCTTAAAAGATGTCTTTGGTTGCAACAGTTTCATATTTCTAAGCACAATTAGATTTTTTGTTGTATCAACATGCATTTCACACTACATTATGTATGGTATTCGTCTTAACTAAATCATTCTTAATATTGCACTTTCTCAGGACTTTTGTGGGCATCATCGATGAGTATTTTGATGGATACTATGCAGAGGAAATGATAGAATCTCAGGTGCATTTTCCCATCCAATGTTTACAGAACAAACATTTCTTATTGGCTTGCAATATTAAACATGTATTTCAAGTTGATTTGGATGCTGATTTAGTCCTTGTTTTATAAACAATTAATATTCATTCAACTGATCTTTTTTTTTTCTCTTTTTAGGTCGACCAACTTGTTTTTGAGGAGTTGATGCGTGAAAGATTTCCTAAATTGGGTTTGCCTGCCTTTATTATTTGTTGTTTTTTCTCTTCTTTTAATTCATAGTTAACTCGGCAGTATGAATAGTTTTTCTTATTCCAATTATTCCTCTGCTGCAGTTAATCATCTAGATTACTTGGGAGTGCAGGTGGCATGGATCTCTGGGCCATGGTTCCTTTCCATTTTCGTGAATATGCTTCCATGGGAAAGTGGTAAGATTTCTGGTGTCATATAGCAAATTAAAATTGGACCACTAATTTAATTGTTAACAATTTAAGCTAATCTTTCCTTGGGCTGAAAGCTCTTTACTGTTCACAGCTGGAGTTGGTATATTTTATTATATCATTAGTTATGGTTGCTTTTGGTTTTATTTATGTCCAAGAAATTTCCGATTTAAAATTATTAAAAAGGAAATAAAAAATACAGAAAATTATTTATCTTAAGTAAAAGTAATTTACAATTGTAAAGCAAACTTAAATATAAGATATAAACAAAAAAGAAAAAATCTATTGTAACTTCCACTAAATAACCTATTTTAAGGATTATAGAGAAACTGATTTAAGTTGAAATAAATGCAACCTAAGATTGATTTTTAACTCTATCTTAAATTGTTTTACCATCTAATGGGTTATCTTGTCTTCAGTTCTTCGAGTTTGGGATGTGCTTCTATTTGAAGGAAATCGTGTTATGCTATTCCGAACAGCACTGGCTTTAATGGAATTATATGGTAATGGTTACCTTTTTTTTCCAAAAAGATAAATGCTTCATTTATTTACTTGAGAGGATTGAGTGTATTATTAACTATGCAGAATGAGTTGGACTCTATTATGATTTTTTAGTTAGAAAATTACTTCATTCACATGTATTCCAATAGGTCCTGCACTAGTTACAACCAAAGATGCTGGGGATGCAATAACTCTGTTGCAGTCCCTTGCTGGCTCCACATTTGACAGCAGCCAGCTTGTTCTAACTGCTTGCATGGGTTATTTGGCTGTAACTGAGGCTAGATTGCAAGAATTGAGGGAAAAGCATAGGCCAGCTGTCCTAGTGGTGGTCGAGGAGCGATCCAAAAGGGGTAGAGTCTGGAAGGATTCAAAAGGACTTGCATCTAAGTTGTACAGTTTTAAGCATGATGCTGGATCTGTCCTTGAAGAAAAAAGAGCTACTGAAGGATGTGTTAATCCAAATGCAGATAGGAAAGGAACTCATGAGCCTCGTTCCTCTAATCTAGATGAACTTCTTTGTGGCATAACTGTTGAATCAGAAGCAGATTCTGTACCAGATCTTCAAGAACAGGTGGCCTTATTTTATCTTTTCAAAGAAGTTGTGTTTCCTTTTCGAGTTTGTAGAGTCATTGATCGTAGTTTGATCTTTTTTTTTCTGGAAAGATCAAAATGTGGAAAATTCCATAATTTTAACTGATTTTGCAAGGGCCATAAGCAAAATATTTTCTCCTAAATATTCTTTTATCTTTCAGTTTTAGCTTAAGCCTTGGTTTTCAGGAGCGTTTTTGTTTAGTGATGTGAACTCAGATATACAAAATCTTAGATTTTACGAAACGCCTCTTATTCTAGTATTTTATTTCATATGGAAGAAGGATTTGTTTAAATATTTTTGTTCTATTTTGGCAGGGATTTTGTAACTCTATTCACCTTGTGATCATAACTTCATAGCTTTCTCATATTTTTTGGCCGCATATATAATTAGGGGTTTTATTAAACTTGTAGTTTCTCTTCTTTCCTTTAGTGGGCTTGACTAAATTTCTCTGAGTCCTAGCTATGGATAATTGTCGTTCAGTTCACAATTCCAGAAACTTCTTTTGAGTTATAAGCAGTTGCCGAGTTCATTCAAGATAGGGTCTTTTTTATCAGAAATAACGTGAGCAACCACAGCACAACCCTTTTTAAGTTTCAACTGTTAACAGCTTATCTGCAGGTTGTTTGGTTGAAGGTCGAGCTGTGTAGAATACTGGAGGAGAAAAGATCAACAATACTCAGGTTACATTCTATCATGCCTAGTTTCTTCGTCATCCTTTAAGGATCCACATGCAGTGTGGCATAATTTTATTCATTAAAGATACCAGTACCAAGCGATATTTTCTGAAAGACAAGAAGTACATATCAGTAAATTAGATTGCTTACTTGCGCACATGCACACATAAGCACAAAAGTACATACCCCCCTTTTTGAAACAGACAATTGACTTCTGTAGCGATGATATTGTTGTTCTTTGGCCTATTTATCTTAATGTTCTTCTGCAGAGCTGAGGAATTGGAGACAGCACTTATGGAGATGGTGAAACAAGATAATCGACGACAATTGAGTGCACGGGTAAATCTTCCATTTGTGCAGAATTAAGTTTCTTTGCTATTATAAACCTCTTCTTTTCATAAATATACACGTTCCATCTTAGTGCTGTTTCTCTCTCTATTTCTTTAGATCTGGAAGTCAACACCCTGTCCTTAAAATATCTGATCTTTCTAAGTACATGGTCATGAATGGCATGATCCAGCATCTTGTTTCCTAGTTGTTGTGTGGATGTGTACTCTTTGCTCCCTATAGATCTGGCAACATACGTCACAGATCTGGAATGTTAAAAGTAATACTTTAGGATTATGCAGAGAAATACTTCGAAGGCCTTCTCTGCAACATGGTTTATTGGCATGAACAGAAAAATTATCTTAGGTTCCAAAACTAAACTGTTATTTTGCTATTCTAAATGGTGATTGGTCATCATATGGTAAGCTACTCTGGAACTTATGGTCACATTTGAGGAGTGGTTTAATCTTTTTCAAATAATTGCGTCCAAATTTTCTCCTTGTTCACTTTATTTATCCAAGGAAAGAAACAAAAAAGCGATAAAATCATGAGCTAAGACGTTTATTTAAACTTGAGAAAACTTATAACTCACTTGTGCAAAGATTTTTTCTCCTTTCTCTTTACTTCTATGCTACCAAAATGGTTTGCCCCTTTGATGTTGTGAACTTTGAGTTATGTGATTTATTTTGCTCTTAAAAATTCAATTACATTCTGCAGATTGAACAATTGGAGCAGGAAGTAGCTGAACTACAGCAACTCCTTGCTGATAAGAAAGAACAAGAAGCTGCAATGCTTCAGGTTTAATCTGCTTCTGTGCTATTTCTTGATATCTGTTTTTAGATGATACTCTGCATATCTGTTGTAGATCCTATTGGAACAGTAATATGTACCTGTAGGTCCTGATGCGAGTAGAACAGGAGCAGAGGGTAACTGAAGATGCGCGTATAAGTGCAGAGCAAGATGCAGCTGCACAGCGATATGCAGTTCATGTGCTTCAGGTTCTTTTCTTTATTTTTATTTTTAATTTTTATACTTTTGACCCTAAAAAGAGGCAGCTTATAGGTATTTTATTGTGCATGGGAGGAAGTATGCTTCCTCCATTTGAAAAAAGCAGCAATAGTTTTTCTAGCTGGATATTAGGACAAACATCTCCGTCTTGAATGCTGATATTCTTTATGTTGTTTCTGTTTGCTTACATGCCATAAGATGTTTACAAGAAGAGTGTTGGAAGCATAACCTAGGTACAAAGTCGTTAAGCGTAGATAGAAGTGATCCTTAGCCTAGATTTCCTTTTTATGATCTGCTTCTGCTGTCGGGATCTTAGTCATGATAATACATTTTGCCTCTTTATGGGTATAATTCTTTTTGCCAGAAACCTGTTTCTTAATCTACACATCGATACTTTTCCCGGACTATTATATTGCCATGCTCCAATAGAAAATGCATGGACCGAAAACAAAAAGAAACATGTATATTTACTTGATGAAACATTTGGATCCACGACCTGGTTTTTGCACTGGATTCACATGAAAATAAACATTGTATGAATAGGTTCAGCAAAATAAATGAATAAATAAAGGAAAATATCTCTTCTTAACAAGAGATACATGCAGGAAAAATATGAGAAGGCTATGGCTGCAGTTGCTCAAATGGAGAAGAGGGTGGTAATGGCAGAATCAATGCTGGAGGCCACCTTACAATATGAATCTGGCCAAGCTAAAGCACAATCTTCTCCAAGGTATGTATGGAATGTTATTAATCTCTTTATTACTTTTGTGTATGGTCAAAATCTTCTCAAAAATTTTCTTAATGTTCTAAAATCATTTAGGAGTCTTATTTGAATTAGTTGAACTGACGATATGAAGTTAAAAATTTATTGACATTCTCAATTCTAAAGGAAGGGCTTCATATAGATCTAATAGAGAACTCACATTTCACATTTAACACCTGATAACAATCTGGGCAACTTGGCATCCTCATGTATTAACAGGTCCCTAGGAATTCATTTGAGACTGTTGAAGTACAGTCCAATATTAAAATTAGTTGGAGTTATATGTGTTAACTAGCTCTATCATAAAAGATTTACACACTCATCTTTTTCAATCCTGAAGGTTATGTTTCCCTTTTTATTTAAAAATTTCTTGAGGTAAAATTTACATTGCCCATGCAAATTTGCCAAATATAAACGTGTAACCTTTCTCAATAGCAACCAAAAACGTATGTTTCCTTTTTTATTACTCCATAGTGAGATTTGGAGATCATCTTAGATTCTTAGTATTTTTGGGGTTAGATTGTTTATGTCATTTATTGATGATTGTACTAGAGTCACATAATTTTTAATTTAAATACAAATAAGATGTCAGCTAAATAATACCCCAGTTTTGCAATATGATTAAAACCCAATGGAACCTGCATACAAAGATTATGCGCTAACACAACAGGCTTTTTTAGTCAGACACTCATCTTTTTCTCACCAAGAAAGGAATTCTTTATGAACAATCTTGCATCCATACTCCACAACAAAATGGAATAGTAGAATGCAAGAATATTTAACCTTCTAGCCATCAATAGGGTCTTCGTTTTCTAAAATACATCCCAAAATAAATTGGAGTGAAGTAGGCGTAGGCCTTACAGTCTCCTACATTATTAACTATTTATCTTCCAGTGTTCTAAAATTCAAAAGTCGTCTAGAAGCACTTTTTAAGTTTTATTTAGAAGTGTTACAAACCATCTGGTGCTCAGGTATTTTGGTGGGCGCCTCAGGTATTTTGGTGTGTAGCCTTCGTTTATATTCACCCCTATCAAATGGAAAAACTTGATCCCAATACCTTGAAATATCTGTTTCTAGGATACTTATCTTCTTAGAAGGGGTACTAATACAAAAACTTTATGTGTATGCGGATGTCACTTTTGTTAAAAAAGACCAAATTTTTCATCAAACCTTATCTTTAGAGGGGTTTGTATTAGAAAATAAGAGTATAGATTTCTATGACTGACTTTTGCCCACCATTCTTGCCACGTACTCAAACACCATTATCACCACCACTAAAAGCAAACACACATAATCCACTAGAGAACTTATCCAGTCAATAAATCATATCTGACTAAGATTCACTTAGGTGTATATAGGGAGGAAGCATTTGAGTTCTCAGTTTAAGCCAATCCAAGCATTCGATCTTAATTCTAGAACTGAGATAAGTCTTGAGAACCTTATACAGTCTGATAATGATAGGTATATTATATTTTGTAAAAGTAACAAGGAATGTACTAAACATCATTTTTATCCTATCCACGCAGTTTGTATCATTTGATTAGTGTTTATAGCCTCGAAAATTGTTTTTACAAGTTTGAATATTGAGCTTATCTCTAACACTTTATCTGAGTTATTATCTTGTGAGAAATAAAAAAATGCTATAGATGTAGAAATGCAAATACTAGAGAAAAATTAGACATGAAAAGTGGTGGACCTACCCAAAGAAAAAGTTGTAGGATGCAAATGGGTGTCTAGAATCAAATATAAGGCATATGAGATAATCAAGAGATATGAAACGAAATTAGTAGCAAATAACTTTACAAAGACTTATGGGATAGACTACTTAAAAACAGTCATTCCAGTAGCCAAAATGAATACAATGCAAATTTTTAGTTGCTCATTTTGATTGGCAACTGAAATAATTCGGCGTGAAAAATGTTTTTCTACGTGGAGATCTGGAAGAAGAAATGTATATGGAGATTCCATGAGGTTTTGTCAAAGAAGCATAATCAAATAAAGTTTCTAAATTGAAAAATGTACGCTAAAGGCTTTAGCAATTGCCTAAAGCATGGTTTGACAGATTTGCACGGATAATGATAGGCTTGGGCTATAAGCAGACTTAGGGAGACTATACTTTGTTTATTAAACGCTCAGAGGCAGAGAGAATTATAGCACTCCTAGCATATATTAATTACATTATTGTAATAGGAAATAAAAAAAAAAAGAAAAAATAATGCTAAAGCAATAATTGACCAGATAATTTGAAATCAAGAAGTTATGTAAGTTGAAGTATTTTTTTGAAGTTGAAGTTGTCTGCTCAAAATTCAAGGTATTTTATATCTCAATATAAATACATTCATTACTTGTTAAGAGATACTAACAAGTTAGTATGTAAACCGGGTTAATACTTCTATTGATCCCAATCATAAATTGAGAGGGGCAAAAGAAGATACACAATAAATAACGAGATGTATCAGTGATCTGTTAGGAGACTAATGTACTTGTCTCAAACAAGACTAGACATTACTTTGTTACGAGTAAGTTCGTGGACAATGTTAAAGAAGTCCACATACGAGCAGCCTACCTAATGTTGCATTACATAAAGGGTTACCTAAGAAAGGGATCTCGTTAAGAAAAAATGACAGATTGCTATTAGAAGACTATATATATGCAGATTATGCAGCGTTAATGGTGGACGTAAGATCTACTGCATATCATTATAGATAGATTCCTTGGGGGTAACCTGGTTATTTGAAGAAGTAAGAAACAAAATATAATTATAAGATCAAGTACAGAATTAGAGTTTCAAGCAATGACCCAAAGGATATGTGAATTAATATGGCTGAAAAGAATTTTAGAAGATTTGAGATCAAATAGAAGAATTTATACGCCTATACTGTGACAATAAATCAACCATAAGCATTACATACAATTTGGTACAATATGAACGGACTAAACATATTGAGATCAACATACACTTTATTAAAAAAAAGCACGAGAGCGGCCTAATATGTATTTGGTACATGCCTACTAGTTCATAGCTAGTAGATGTGTTGATCAAAGACTTGAATAGTCCAACATTCTGGACTATTATTGACAAGCTGAGGATAAAGAATATCTATTCTCTAGTTTGAGGGGAAGTGTTAAGAAGAGTGTATTGTCCATAAATTAGGTTATAAAATATAACCTATATAATGAATTGTTTATTTCTTTTTCCTGCTCCAGAGAACCTATAATGTAGGATTATAATATTTAATAAAATATACATTCAACGATTCTTAACAATATGCATTACCATTATGCTTGCCACTAAAGATATGATCAAGTAATGCTTAAAACCTTTCCACACGGAGGGAGTATTTTCTTTTTTCTGTATATTTATTTATTTTTCATGGTACCCTAGAGGACACAGGACACTAAGTGACTTCTATCTACTTGCTACAAAAGGCTCATGCGAAAAGTGACCCTTGAACATGGTAGGTTTTCAAAATGACTTTTTGCTCTATGTAAACTCTTCTGTTTGCAGTCACTTTAAAAACCTATGAGTTTAGACTGAATTTCTGTTTCCTTTGCTCCAATCATTTTCCAGTACTGGGCCAAAATCTTTAACGGATTTGAGTCGAGTATTATGTGCATATGTTGTAAATTGCTTCAGATTAATAGACCATTTCTCTGCAAGTGGTAATATGCTTCAAGAAGAATTTGTCTTATGAAGTCATTTTATAGGTCTCAACGTCAAAGCTTTGGACAGGATAGCCCCAGAAGGAAGACTGGTCTACTTTCATTTGGTTTGGGTTGGCGTGACAGGAACAAGGTAAAGTTTGTTAAGCTTGCACACTTCCCTTCTGTATCAAGGAAAAGAAAATTTGTTTGCTGTTGCACAACCAAACAAGAGTTCCACTGAGTAGAGAGATGTAGTAAATCCTACTGAAAGAGTCACTACTCACAAGTAGATTAGGAAGTTTTTGATTGGTAACTAAGACACTAAACACTGGTCGATGATTTTGGGCAGTTACTAGAGCCATAGACTCCCTGTTCAAGTCTTAGTAATTCAGTTCACTGGTCCTGAAATTGTTGACTCAAGCAATTATGCAAACTTATCTTTTGCTAATGTTTCATAAAAACTCCATGTGACAGGACAAACGATCTGAAGAGTCTTCTGACAGTAAATCCCCCACTGAGGCAATAGACCCAAACACTTGTAAGCAGGAAAGTGCTGCCGAGAAGGAAAAGTAATGCCGAGCTGAGAAGCTGGAATAGTAATGGCAGATCAGAGGGTAGCCTCAGTGCCATGTCATTTGCGGGAGATCCTAGCACTGAGGCAGGCATTTTTTTATGGTTTTCTGCTGCCCGTTTTCGTGTTTATATGCACCCTGGAGCAGAGGTGTCGGCAGCCCCATTTATTTGTATAATTTAATTATTTTATTTTTTCTCCTTGTCCTCTTGACAATCTGTTGTAAATTTCCATCTTTAGGATGATTAGAAGAAAACCATTTTGAATTTGGAACATCTGTTTTCATTGAAGTGTTTGATAGCCATCTTTTGCTCAGAACAGTAGTGTCCAGAGGTGAAGTTTGCTAGTGCTGATGCTACTGGAAGATGGTTTTACCTTTTTTAGTTCTTCTGTTAACTCATTAATACTTTCCTGTAGTATTTAGAAGAAAATTTTAATTGAAATATCTTACCTGTAAGAATTAGCTGATGGCTGCTGATAATATGCATCTTTGTTGTATTTGTAAAATTTAAGTTATTTTATTGAGTTTTGCTACGGCAGCTGGGATTGAATCCTGAGGTTGTTTAGGCAGCCTTCTTCCTCATTAGCATCATTCCACATCTTCTAGTCAAAGAGCTTATATAATTTTGTTCGATAACAAGATGATGATACCGAAATCACAAGACACTGATAAGTCTTAATTATTTTTCTTGTATTTTTGTTATCTATTTATTATCCTTCTGCATGCGATTCTCAATTTCTTGCCGTTTCAGATTTTGTAACTAGAGCTGCAACCAGTAAATCCTAATTTAGTAGCAAGTAGTCCTTGTCAAGAAAGTAAATTAGAAAATCAAAGCAGAATTTTTCAAGCAGCTTGGAATACAAAAATTGCTTCTTGTTTCAGAAGTAGATAGTGTTATTTTAACGCTGATGTAAAGTTTCAAGATACAGAGCTAAGAAATTGAGGACCCAGATCTATACTATACAAAAGCAGTATAAATAGTTTGCTTAAGCACCCTGGATTGATAAAAAATATATATATATATATATATAGAATCTAGAGACACAAAACCATAGCCTGGACAGAAATCAGGCAACATATCTTTAACACACTTCTAAATTCAAAAAATAATACAAGGCTTGACAAGACATCATGTCTCTATTTCTATCTTGGAGCATTCCAATTAAAATTTGGAGCCATCTCTCACATAAATTTTTATCAAAACGTTATATTTATAAGACATCTATGATCTTGCTAAATTATATCCACAGTGCGAGTCTAAGAGAAGTCAATGATCGTTAGAAATTGGAGCAACTGGGCAACCAAAATCTTAACTTAACCTTTTGTTTCGATCTTTCTCTAATCCATTACTGCCATTAACCTTTCTATCCCTGTCCCTCTTTGTTCTAGGAGGAGTGGCCGGGAGATAAGTGCCCTGGACCGGCTGTGTCTCAGGTTCATACTTCTGTGAAGCCAGGTATGATAGAGCTGTAACAACATCAGCAATGACTGGCCTCATATTAGGGTGCTCCTGAACACACATTGCTGCCACAGCAAGAGCTTGGTACAAGCCTCTTGAAGGATATTGACCTTGGAGCATCGGATCGGCCATTTGAGAAAATTTTCTTCTATCTTTGAATAAAGGTCTCGCCTGCAATGAAAACATAAAAATAAACACTCAAAGTTCTTGCTATCACACTCCTTAGTTACTAATAATTGGTGACTGAGTGAGTCGTGGTCTAGTCATTCAGAATAATAGACTTCGTATCTCCATAAGTATTCAGCTTTGAAATGATAGCCCGAAAAATTAATATGAAAATATTTGAAAGTGATACTCTTATGAATCAATTGCCTGTCGTCTGCTTCTTACCCATGCAACCAGATTCTGCTCTCCAGCAGCTTTTGAATTGTCAATTGCTTTCCTCCCAGTTATGATTTCCAGAAGAACAACGCCAAAGCTATAAACATCTGACTTCAAAGTCAGTTGGCCTGTCATTGCATACTCTGGAGCACAGTATCCATAGGTACCCATAACTCTTGTTGATACATGGGTCATATCCCCAACAGGTCCAAGCTTGGCCAACCCAAAATCAGATAGCTTGGGATGATATCCTTCAGCAAGCAAAATGTTGGAACATTTTAAATCTCGATAAATAACAGGGGGGTTAGCTTTGTCATGCAAATGCTCCAATCCCTTTGCTGCTCCAGCAGCTATTTTCATTCTTGTATTCCAATCAAGTCTCCTCTTACCGGGAGAAATGTCTGCAAAATGCACACAACACTAAGACACAGCAAGTTGAAACCACAAAAGAAACTTCTACTGATAAAAGTGTGGTATTCCTACCATGTAAATGGTCTTCCAAAGATCCTAAGGGCATATATTCATAAACCAGAAGCCTTTGATCTCCATCAGCACAATAGCCAATCAAATTAACAAGGTTAGGGTGGTGTAGTAGACTTAGCATCAATACTTCAACTAGGAATTCCCTGTTCCCTTGCAATCCATTACGATCAAGCTGCTTTATTGCTACAACCTGCACAAACCCAAAAGAAAACAAAATGGTCGAAGATCTATTGGCAGCATCATTCTTCAATAAGAACAATTCTTAGTCTAACATCGATTAGACTCAAAGCATGAGGTCACTCAGCCAAAGCAGAGGGGGGCGGAAAGGCTCTCTTGAGAAAAAAAATTTTAATGCACAAAATCCAAAAGATCTAATAGTATCAGGACAACCAAGAAGAGACTGACTTACAGAAGTTGCTCTCAGTTTTCTCATCTTCTTGTAAAAGAAAAGAGTTGACTAACCTGATTAAGGTTTTCCAAACGCCCTCTATAAACTCTCCCAAATCCTCCCTCACCCAAAAGACATTCAGCTCTGAAGTTCCTAGTTGCATTTGCCAACTCACGGAATGTGAAAGTCTGGGCTGCAATGTGATCAGATCCTCCATTATTAGCTGCCTCCCTGGCACTCAAGGAGGAATTTGACCTCAATTTCTCTGGAAACATGTAGTAGACAATGAATTAGCAGGAACAGAAAATACATGGCTAAACATATAGTACATGGTGAATTAGCATAACCTAAAATGAAAAGCTGTGAAATACAAAGTAGTATCCTAATCCCTTTATAGGATAGATAAAGAAATTGACCAAAAAGAAACTTTGTCAACAGAAAAGGAAAAAATTATCATCCTCTTCCCGAATGGCATCAAATGATTGACACTTTTGCATAAATATTCTAGCGCTTCTATTTCCAAAAAAAAAAATGTTCTGGCACTTCTCTGTAACCAAAGGACATCTATGCCAGCAAAAGTAAATCCCTCCTCAAATCAAATTATGATCTCTACTCAACCAATAAAAGTATCAATATCTTTTCCAAACCAGGGAAATTATTTTGTTTCTCCAGCCATACAGACAACTTCAGTTAAAATGTCTAGTAAAAGTTAATCCTTCTCGTATTGACATTACAGTTCCATAAATGACATAACTATATTAGATCGAAGACTGGATATAGTTATATATAATACAAAACCAAATTTATCAACCCATATAAAACTTTGGACATTTCTGGCTCCCTTCATATGTTGGTTTACCAGTTACACAGTTAGCAGCAGAAATCAATGGTCAAGCTTTGCTAACATCGTCCTATCCTAGCTATAACAACATTCTGTTGCAGTGAGGATATGATTTTGTATAAATATGATCGTTTTCCCCATAAGAGTACTGTTTTGGAGTTTATCAGCCGGGTTAACTTGGAAAGAAAACTCATAACTATAGCTACTCCAAAGTTTCAATTAATAAAGCCAAGTATAAAAATATCCATTCCAAAGTACCAAAACATTTACACAAAAATTTTCTCCCGGGTTTCTGATAACCATCACTAAATAAACATATTAATTCAACAAATCAAGCAGTTAACAATATGGAAATCAATCCCAATTACTAAATCTTGATCGAAATGCAATAAACCCAGATAAGAGAAAGTGAAAGACCACATAAAATCATAGAGAACCAAATTTGCTCGTTAGCAGATCATGATAGGCATTAAAATGAAAGGATGGTCGGATTCATAAGGGTTTTTCCTTTTCCAACTGCCTTGGACTTTTCCATTACTGCTTTTACACACACTAAACCTCCAAAACTATACACATACATATACAAAAATATTATACCTGAAGTTGAATTGATCTGATCAAGATGCTTCTGGTTCACTTTCTTATCATCCTTCTTGCTCTTGGCTTTAGTGTTTGATTTCCCAGAGCAGGGAATCCACCCCATGGTTTCTTCTTCCTCTCCTCACTCTCTTGGTTAATCTGCAGAGAAACTGCTACCAACCCAGATATATCAATTGACAGGAAGAAAAGGATTACTGGATCAAAATAATTTCCATCTTCACACGGAGAGAACAGAAAAAGAAGGAAAAAAAAAAAAAGAGATCTTTGAATTGTAAAGAGCCAACCAGCTCTCTTGTTAATTTATCGTTTTTGTTTTGTTTAACGTTTACTTTTTTTCTCTTTTTGTAAATTCCTGATTGGCTTTTTGTAAGACTTTCTTCTGTCAAAACGGTGACGTTTAATTCCCTCGTGGTCTTCCCGGCACGATGAAGATGGGTCCCACAAAAGGATATTTCTTTTTTTTTTTCCCACTATAATTATCAAAAATTATTTATTAACTATTTCGTATATTTCTTGAAGATTCCTAAATATTTTAATTATTAAAATATAATAAATTGTGACCGAAATTAACTAAATTTTTATCATAAGAACTTTTCTTAAGCTAATTTTAAATACTATATTAATTTTTTAAAAAATATTCCTTTCTAATTAGTTAAAAATCCATTAGAAATTTTTTTAACTATAATATTTTTACATTTATTAATCATTCTTTGATAACTTTTAAATAATTTTATTTTAATGAATATAATTTTAAAATACCTAAAACAAATAGCTATCATTGCAAAACAAAGTTGAATAAATAAAACGACACATGATGAATCACGTTTTGACTATTCTCGATACAGATAAATTTTTAAATAAGACATGAAAAATTAAATTATAATTCTTATAAATTTAAAAAAAAAAGTCAAACTACATAAAAAAAACAGAATAAAAATATATACGTGTCTTCCATAAGTAATCAAAATCTAAAATTGAGATATAAGATAACAAATAAGTTGTTATAGATTATATAAGAATTTCTTTCAATTATAATATATTAAGAACTTATACCATACACAAATTCTACGTAATAAATAAATATTTAAATTTCTACTAGTTCAATAGAATACAATAAAAGGATTTGTCTATATATAAGAATTCTCTCTGTAAACTGCGACCTACTACTTTTATACTCATTCGCTTGTTTTTTTTTTATAAAAATGTCTTAATTTTAATTTAAATAGGTACTTATTACACTTTTCTATATTATAATAGTAATATATTATATTTCTCAAAATATATTATATATAATATATATAACTTAAACAATCAATTTGTTAATCTTTAAAATAATTGTTAAAATAAAAATATAAATTCTTGGCATATTAGAATTAGATTTATCTATTTGAAATTGTTAAATATAAAATATAATTTGAATAATATATGAAATCTTTAATCTGATTAATATATACAACAAATTTTAACTTAATTAAATGCATTAGGATTACGATTGTTTATTTAACAATTTCAATGTCAAATTATAATTTTAAGTAATACACAATAATTTCTAAATGAAGTAAAAAAAAAAAATCAATAACTTATAGTTTAAAGGTAAAAATATGAGTAAGTTGAAATGAAGATAAAAAATCAAAATTATAATTATTTATTTCTTCCCAAAACCTCCTTCACCATTCATCTTCTTCCTCAACTCTCTCTAAAATTTGAAACCTTCACCAAAAAACAAAAGCCCAGATTGATGGAGAACATAAGGTGAAATCTATATATATATATATATATATATATATAGACACACACACACACACACACACACACACATATATATACATGAAACATATATTTTCTTTCCTTCTGAAAATGGCATGGTTGTTTTTGTTTCTTTACCACAAAACATATATATATATATATATACACAAACTTATATATATATATCTTATTCATTTTTTAATTCCGGGTTTTTATGAAATTCTGAAACTTTTTCTGTAAGTAATAATTAACTCACATTTTGTCATCTTCCCAATACCAAGTAAGAGAAAGAGAAGAAACATTTATTTCACTTCTTTTTATTTACTTTTTCTTTTTTTTTATTTTATTGATTGATTTCTTGAAAAAAAATAAATTAAATTATTATTTAATAAAATTTAAGTTTTAATATTTTTTATTACAATTTAATTTTAAACGTTACATTTATTAACTTCTTTTTAATATTTTTTTATCAAATATTTAATCTCCAAATTAGAAAAAAAAAAAGCAATTATATATAGAGAAATAATAATGTAATTATAAAATAAAGTTTATTAGGATAAAAAAAAATTAAAGATGGTTGCTTGGAAATCACGGGTCTGGTTTAATTTCAATCAGTGAATTGCTGATTAAATTGGTAAAAGATTTTCCAACACGAGGGACCACATTAGGAATCATTGTGAAGAAAACATATATTATTTATGTACTTACACATGTATGTATATATGTAGATTTGAATTATGGCCACCACATTTATTAAGTATAAATAAGTAAATTGGGTTGACGTTATTCTTTTCTGCTATAATATCTCCATGCTCCCTAACAACCCTTCAATCATGTACTAAACAAAGGGGGAGTTGAATAGTTTAAAATTATTTAATTAATTAAATCATTTTATTAATTCTACCTACGTGGTTGTATTCATAGGTAGGAATTTTTATACTTCAAAGAAAAGAAAGCTCATGAGGAGATTTCATAAATTGGAAAAATAATTGCAAAATCATATATATATATATATATATATGATAGTGTATTCTTGGAGTACAATCTTGAAAAAATTGCCATAATCTTTTTAATTTCCTACCTATATATCATATAATTAACCATTCCTAAAGCTTAAATGATAGAAAAGAATACAATATATTTCTATATACATTAATAAACATAAAACTATCCACCCTTCCTCTAGAAACAAACAAACAAAAATAATAATAATAATAATAATAACTATAATTACAATCACTCTCACAATGAAATATTAAAATGAAACTGCCTATAAAATATGAGACCCTAAAAGTGAAAGAAACTTTAGGCGCTTATGTGTCTCATAAATTGAGATCAAGGCAGGGCAAAATTCAAAATTCACTAATTATGTGATGTCAAATTGAAACAGAACCTCAGCTGAAACTTAAACAACTTTATTGTTAAATACATTTAACTAGGCAGAAACAGGATGAAATTTAAACTGAAAGATATCATTTGATGCATGCAAAAACTCTCCTCGTTAAGATGCCTCCACTGCATAACCTTACCAAGAATTACCGGAGCAATCCAATAGATTACCGTTTCTTCATCTTCAATATATATTATCTTCAAAACCTTTTTTTCCTTGATGAACATGCTTTGGGAGATTCAATGTAAGGTATAGAAATGGTTTAACTGTAATGAAAAATCAAAGGTTTTGATTACGAATCGGGTTCAGAGGCCACTGGATTAGTTGTGTTCCTCATTGGCATGTCATGATTGTGTTTGCCTTCATATGTTGTGATAAAAGCTACCGGATCATCTGACGCTCTTTCTACATGCTTGCGCACATTGCACTTTAGGCTGGTACATCGGTAGTAACTTCTGCAAACACAAGAGATAGTGTTAAGCCCAGAAAAATAAACCATCAATCAGACAGACTATAAAATGATATGATGTGAAACAAGAACAATTTATAGTATGGAAAAAGAGGTCAATTTGAGTAGGATACACTACACCATTGTTTATATTCAACAGGCGAGGATAGAGTACTAGCATATAATATAGAGAGCAAAAATAAGTCATTGAGGTTCAACCTGGGATATGGATTTCCCTTGACATGCTTTTGTCCATATTTTCTCCATCGAAAGCCGTCATCCAAAATCTCAGAATCAGTGGAACCGTGCACAATAACATGTGGATCTTGGACACTTTCCCCCAATAGTCCTGCTTCATTTGATTGGTTCTCATTCTTCCTGAAGAACACAGCACAAATTCCCAGATGATTTTACAGCATTCAACATCAAAAAAGGCCATACCTTTTTGAAGCATGTGAGTGTTACTTTGCAAAGTGAAGCAGCATCAGTGATGAATAGAGATGCTTCGCATATATATTTTACCTAGTTTCTTACCTTCTTTTGCTTCTGGGTTCATCATCATCTCCCTCCACTACCTTGCTTCCTTCCTCACATTCACCACTAAGGCCAAGAGAATTCTCTGAATTTCCAGTACCTACATGGATTGTCCCAGCTGCAGTAGGCTCATAAGCTGGTGGATATCTTCCCTGAAAACATGATAATCCCATTTCATTCTGATTTTCTACTCTACCTTCAGAGCCTTCAGTCCTTTCATTCAGTTGATTATTCGGCAAACTGATGTTGCCATCTTGAGCTGATCCTTCAGATGCAAGCACAAGCCCTTGTGTCCCAGATGAGCTTCGTTTAGGGGGTGGTGGTTTTGGATGATTATGTTCACCCTTGTACACAATTTCTGCAATCTGCCCATCAAATGATCTTTCAACTTTCTTCTTCACTGGGCAATTAGGATGTGTGCATTTGTAGTAACTTCGTGGATATTCACTTCCTTTAACTTGCTTTTGCCCGTACTTTCTCCAGTTGTAACCATCATAAGAAGGTCGATCTGAACTGACCACCACAGATGAGGTTTTTTGATCTTCCTCCAAGTTCTGAGCTGCAGTTTTTGAGTTTCCAATTGTCAGTTCTGCCTCAGTATGCGATGGAATACACTGGTGCATGTTTGAACAAAACCTGGACATGAAGTTATGTTTATCTTGATTTGAATTTTGAGCACGAGCATGAGCCAACTGCATTACTTGATGCGAATTAGTACTGAAATTTCCCTGCTCAAGATAAAAGGTTAATTGTAAACTCTTAATCAGCCAAGAATACACGCAATCTTGCCTAATGCCTGGCGAATCAACTACTTACCATATTTGCCAAAAGAGAAACAGTTGCCTTTGACACAAGCTTAGCCTGTGGTTTATACAACACATTGGTTTTGCTGTCTGTTTTTGTAACAGACAAATTACAAACTGCTGTTTCAGAAAAGTCAGCCTGAAAATTTCAGACAACAAAAGGATAAGAGAAAAATAATTAATCCCCAAAGGACAAACATCCAAAAGAGATAGAAGGCCACCTGGGAAGAGTTATCCCTTGATGGAGTATGATTCACTATCGGCTTGAACCTAACAGTCTTTGGTCTAATTGCAGCAATTGTATTTTCAGAAGATGTGGTAAAGGGAGAAACGTTGATGGCACCTGCAAGGAGCTCTGAGAAGGACCTAAAACTTGAGCAAGTAGGCCTTGAAGGTACTGGTTTTGCAATAACTACCCTTTCTGCTTCTTTGATCTCCATTTTCAACTTATTAATAAACAGCCAGCTTAATATTAGTAGAGCAATGTTACGGGGAACGTGGAGCACTGATCATATTAATATGCACCATTGCCAGAACAGCCACAGCAGCAAAACATATTTTGTTAGGAAAGGAAGTCTGATGTAGGACAAACCCAAGATTTGTTGGAAGGCAGTTTCTTCTGTTTTGACTTCCAGATGCAAAATGAACTTTATGGAATTAGCCTGCATTTACATGGGTTAACGTGATTACTAATTCAAAGACAAATACATTACAAGTATATATATGGTACAAACAGAGTAGTATTTCAGAAGTACTAGTATGAATTTGTTGAGATATTCCTCTAAAACATGCTGACATTTTCATACCCTGCTTCAGCTACATCGAGAATTCCTTTAACTTAGTCAGGGAATATTAAGTGAAGCAAGAGATGGGAATTTGGAGTCATGAGCAGGGTAAGAGCAGGGCAAACTGATGCCACAATTGACTTAATTTTCCAACTACCAGTGACCCTCCCAAATATCATTTTGGCAGCATACTATTCCATAATTAGAAACTATCGCAGAGGACCTCAGGTGTAAAACAATGGCAAAATAGGCAGCACAGAGTAACCAAGATATTTCCTAACTTGCACATGCTTAATTATCTCTGCAGATTAAATCTCTCTTAGTGCTCTGGATTTAACAAATTAGAGTTGACTTTTCCACAAGAGTAACCTCATTTGCGACAACCTCAGAACATTTTGCAGCAACTATTGCATTTCATTGCCATCCCGGATATTGCTAACTATTCAAATTTTCTTTTAGGAACACTTGATCGCCATGTTCTTCATCAGAAACATATACATTGCCATGAATCTCATTTACTTGCTGAAGATTTTTCAGAAACATATAAGTCCCATTAAGGAAACCACTGTATTCCAGATTTTACTGCACAAGTCATTACTCAAATCAAACCTAGCTTCCCGATTCCATAAATTATCTCCATCTTCTAGTACTGAGCATTTTGAATCTTGAAATCGTGGAAATGAGATTAAATACGCCAATTTCTAAACTTCTTTTCCCTCGATTTACAAGACAACCAAACATAGATAGAAGAGCTTTACATAATTAAGATAAGTAAACGCTAAAAAACAAAAATGGAGTATACCATGCTATTCTACTTAAGACGTAATTTCCTCATGGAAATAATTCAGTACTTTAGTCCCGTAAATACCTTGTAACAACTATACTTAGCTTGAAATTCCAAGAGAAGTGGAAAAAATGAGGATGGTGTAAAACCTGAAGGTTGTACAGATCATATAAGACCTGTAGGAATCATGCCTGACAATAGAGAAAAAATATTGCAAAATAAGTCTACAACAACACATTAAGCTCAAGGAGTTCTAAAAGAGGAAAAGTAAGAAGTGAAAGGGGCAGTAACCGCAGTTGCAACGAGTGGCAAAACAAACAAAGCTTATCAGCTTTTCAACCATTAAGTGCAAGTCATCGTACAGCTTAAAGTCTGCAATGATGAAAAAAGAATGCAGAATTTAGTGAGAAAAACGATAGATAAGGTGCAAAAGAGAATCATAAATTAAAGAAGGAAAACGTGACTTAAATGCAGAAAACAGGAACCTAGAAGGAGGAGAGAAAGAAACCTTAACCAGCTTCAACAAAACAATTCTTGAGCAGGTGGTGCAAAGAGAAATTTCTGATGAGAAGAAAATGAAAAAGAAAATCGTATTGAAAAATGTTTTATGATTTTTGAAAATGATTTCGGAAATTTTGTATTTGTTTGCTTGGGATTTTGGAATCTGGTTTGGTCTGACAAGAAAATGTGATTGGTGGATTACAGCACGAGAGATGGAGGGGATGAGAGAGGTGTACCGCCAACTAACTGTCTCTGCTTCTTCGTTGACTCTCTGATAGGATGCATTTTATTTTATAACACAAAAACGGTGCGTCTTGGGGCGCGTTTAACGCACGCGAAATCACCGCAGCATGTGGAGATGTTGTGAGATATTGATGCAGCGGATCTTTTAAGCTAACACGTGGCGTTGCTTCATTGCTTGAAATTTCAGCGTTGCTTCTCGCATGTGAGTAACTTGATAAGACAGATTTATCAACGCAGTAGAAGTAAAAAGGTAAATTCAGGTTGGTTTAACTTCTCCTGCTTTGATAGATGGATAAGTAGCAGCAATGATTGTTCCACAGTAAAAATAATATACAGCTGTGTTTTTGTGTAAAAAATAAATAAATAAACAAAGGAATTACCAAAACTACCCCCCTTTCCCTGGGATTCTGGAATTTTCTCTTTTTAAATTAGATAGATAATATAATATTAATAATTATATTTGTATATTTTATATTATTATTATATGTGTAAATATTAAGTTATAAATTTGGTTTAAATCAGTTAAAATTACATTTAAGATCTTGATTTGTTAAGTTTCATAAACTAATTATTTGCCATCAATATTGAACAAAAATGCAAAATTTGTCTGGGGCAACATTCAAAAAAAATATATATATATATATTCGTAAAATACATATACATAAATAGTGAAATGTTTATACAATGAACCTAAAAAAAAATTAGCAATTTTCAGAAAATTCTTGAGATTTTTAGAAGAGTATTTTATAATTTTTAATATCACATAAAGAGTTAAAATACTTGATTTTTTTTAATAAATAAAACAGTTAGACTTGGTGATAACTCGTTAAGATAAAATTTAATTTATCTAAAATAATTTTATCAAGATTAATAATAACTATACCTTATATCGGTTGAATCAAATATTATTTATCGACTATTCAATTTATAATATATTCAAAAAAGTAATTTGATAAATTCCATATTAGTTTTAACTCATTATCTTTTTAAATATAAAAATAAAATTTTATCGTACTAATAATAAAAAAAATAATAATAATAGTTGATTTTGACTTAATGGAGAACTAATTATATGGCCTTTTTCTAACAAATATAGAAAAAAAAGTATATATTTATAAAACAGATAGGATAGTTGTATCATATACGAAATTAGATTAATCCAGAGGGTGTTAACGCATAGTTTTTCCTTTTTTAGCAATCTCCTAACATTCGTGTTAATGTTGAACTTAAAATTGTCATCAATTTTATTAGAATCAGGGTTAGAATTTTAAAAATTTTACTTGTTTAACTAAAAAATCTTAGTTCAGAACAATAGAAAGTAGGAAGGTGTAAGACATCTAATTCTATATAAGCTAATTAATCAGTATAATTTGTACGTAAAACTAAAATTTTATTTCTAATACAAGTATATGTATATGATATTTTTTAAAATTAAAATACATTATTCACATCACATATGACATCAGGAAATTTAAAATACATATAAAGAAGAAAAAACGACAAAACATTTAAGAATAATCTATTACCGTACTTTGCTCCACAAAATCTTTTTGAGCTCTCATTTTACAAGCTTCGTAACTTTTCCACGTTCTAGGTCCATAATCAGAATATCTTATATAGTATTATTTTTATTTTTATTATATTGATATATGTTTCATTCACATTTTTTATTTCATTCAATAATTGTTTGTTAGTATGCACTAAACCAATGCATGAAAATTTAACTCAAAACACCATTAAGAAAAGCTACATCTAGAAAATTTTTCCTATAAATAAGAGTAAATGAATCTAGAGATAAATTTATTCATTCATATTAACCCTATAAGTCATTCAAACATAATATGAAGTATAATCTAAATTTACATAATTATATTGTCTATGAATTAGGAATAGTAATAAATCATATTTGAAACAGGTTTTATGAAATACAAATTTAAGCACGAATATGTCATAAAACTGGAGCAAGTTTAAAAATATAATTTTTATTCAAATTTGTACGGTTAATGGGTTAAACGCATTTTCCTTACTAGCCCTCCTCCCATTTCCCTACAATAAGTATTAATATTATAAAAATTGAAACTTAAAAGTTTTTAGGTTTTAGTTTATATATATAGAGTATTAGGTTGCGTACAAAAATATTTTTTATAACTAAATTTATATTTGATCTGTCTTGATTATATAAGATTAAAAAATTTACTTATATAGTTTAAATATAACTTAAAGGCAGAACAGATCAATAGATTAGAATAAACTTGCAGGTCATATATATATATAATTTAAAATAATTTATTTTATAATTTTCAACCTTGATTTCTATTTACATGTAAGTTAACAATCCCTCTTGATTTAATTATAATCTAGAACCAATCATGACCATTAATAGAGAATAAATTCATCATCATCTATAGCATCTACAACAATAAAGATTAATAACAAATTTGTTCTTGTTTCATCTCAAATCTGTCATTTTAGAATTACTAAACGTGAAAACTAATTTGATTTCAACTACTTCCATGAGGCCTAAATAATAAAATACATTGGACTACAAACATATTGAATGTAGGTCGAAATTGAAACTAAAATGGTGTACGTATTCATAAGAGATCAATAAACAACACTTCATCGTCGTAGTCCTTTCACATTTATCCGATAAACATAAAGCATTTGCAAACTATATATTTCATATAAAAAAGCATTTGCAAACTACATATTTCATATAAACAAATAACATAAAGCAAGTAGAAGAGTATAAAGATTATACTTAAGCCTTTTGAACCTCTCTCTTCTTTTCTTTTTCTCTAAAAAAAAGAAATCATTTACATATTTGAATTATATTTGTTGTTGGGCTTAAGAAAGCCCGTGGGTCAAGTTTGTGTATAGCTGAGCCCACATCCATGGACGACCCAAGTCAAAACGGCGTCGTTTTATTTAACCAGCATAGGCTGTGTTACGATGTGGCTGCGGCGTACGTACACCCACCTGACCGAAGTATAAAAGCCCTCTTTTTCGGCAACCCTTCTGTTTCATCCTTTTCTCTTTTCTTCTTCTTCTTCCTTGGGACGACAGGTTTCCTCTCGTGGGACGCGACGGTGAGCGCATCTTCGACGGAGCCTAAGGTACTTTTTATACCTTTTCTTGTTTCCATACTTGAGTATAATGAATGATAGAAAGTTTCTGTTGTGAAAATATTATTTTCTTGCAAATTTAGTGTCCAAAAGTTGTATTTCTCACAATCAGAAAAAATCATCACTGAAAATACTGGGAACTTGAATAATGACTTGATTGAAGGAGTATTTGAAGAAGTCCATGTCCAATATCATAACTCCTCCCGTACAGGCGAAAGATGAACGGAGTTGTGGAAGCCGCGGACAAAAATATAAGAAAATCCTAATAATGCTTCCATTCGTCTTGTATGCTTATCGAACCTCTCTGTAAGAACATCGATGGTTGGAGGAAGCTTTCAAGTTTCGGGTATTTTTTAACTAAAAATCATGCCACGTGGCTACATCACCGGCCACGTTAATGAGGATCTTATTATGTGGTTTTTTTAATTAAGGGATTAATTTGGTAAACAGAAATTATTATCGGCAAATTTGGACAAAATTAACAGCAAATCACGAAATTAAATATTTAGGGTTTAACGCGGAATTCTTTTTACGTTCTCTTTCCTTAGGTAACACAGACATATAAACATAGAGATGAAGGGAAGTGTCGCCAGGGCCTTGTCAGAAGAGGCAAAGATTGTATTCGCCGAAGGCATCGGTTTGCTTCTCATCCGATGGACTGCTCTCCAGGCTGCTGTGGAGAACGAGTGGGGTGGCCGCGATTCTCGCCGGAAGGCAGAACTTATCGTCTCCGAAATCTTCACTTGGTTCACTCAGTCACCAGGTTATGTCGACTCGATTCACTCCTCGACTCACCTTCATCCTTTTTTTAGTTTTGGTTGTAAGAATTTCCTGTGGAAGTTTTGTGTTTTTTTTGGTCGAATAAGATGTCGTTATAATTGTGAAAAATTGGTTCTGTCTTCTCTTATGATAATTTTGAACTGTGTTAATTTGGGTATTCTTCAAAATTCTGTCTTCACTCGTTTTACTTGATCAGATCGGCAATTAATGTGGAAAGCTCTTGGTGCTTATTTGAATTTTTTCGTCTTTGTATGATTTCTTTTTAAAGTTTAAACTTCTTCTAACCTTATGAATGAAGTACTTTGTGCTGATTCACAAGTTTGTTGTTATTCATTTGATTTTTATGTAAAGAATGTTATGGGAATTGTTCAATTCGTGAGGTTCTGATTGTTTTCTCTTTTAATTTGTTACAGAGCCGCTTTACATTGATGATTTAGAAAATATTCTTGATGAAGGTATGCTTTCTCTCAATACCATGGCAGAGGATGGCAGTGTTGAAGAGGTATGGCATAATTGTTGTACATCCTGAACTGGTGTTTTGCGTTCCTAGATGTATTATTCCCTCTGAGGTCCTTAGGAAGTAAAATTTTAATGAAAATCTGTGACAGCCAATTGAAATATGTTATGATTTTAAGAGTCAATATATTGTTCTTCTACTGCAATTTACCGATTTTTTCCTCTGAAAATTGTAATAAATATTTATGAGAGATGCATTCAGTTGAATCATCACCACAGATTCTTGCAAGTTGGGGTTATGGACACAACTCTTTCCTTCTTTACATAACATGCCCTTTATACTGGATACAATTTTTTCCTTTGTTAATAGTTTTGCATTCTTTATTATCCATTACAGGTGGCAGAGAAATTAATGATCATGCATGAAGAATGTTTGGAAGGTAATTATCAGTCTGTTGAAAAACTGAGGGCAACCAATTCTCAGACAACAGCTTCTGCTAATGTCATAAAGGTACAGCCCTTTTCCTATGAATCTTTATGCTTTGAAAAGCTATAATATGTCCATAAGGTTTGCTGAGAGCAGTGCCTATGATAAGCCCTTTGCCTGTGAATGTTTGTCTTTGACAAACCACAATATGTCAATCAGATTTGTTGAGAGCAGTGCCTTAGAACTTCTCCTTGTCATTGTGAGAATATTTATGTATTACTCTTGACTTGACAGGAAAGTTCATGAGATTAACCATCTGAAAAGTGATTATTTAGCATATGATTTTGAATATATTAAGATAAGGTTGTTTTGTCCGTCATAAGGAAAAAGTAAAATAAAAGAATCATTGAAGAAAACTTTTTTATGAAGTATATGTATTTTTTATATATTCTATGCTATCTAGTTGACTTGCCAGGTAACTTATGGCTTTTGTTGTGGGATATGTGTTTTGCTTACCTGGTTTGATTCCTTTGATTTTCTTGAAGGTATAACAGATTGTTAAAGATCTTTATCTTGTTAGCTTCCAAATAAAATCTTTGAAAATAATGCTGGACATAGAAACATTCTCTTTTGCTTGTTGGTACTTTGGACTGCAATACACAATTTTGCTTTCTTTGTTACAACGAAATGAGTTTTCCATTTATTTTTTCGAAAATGACATGTTTTGACTTGAATGGGTTTCTCTGTAGCCTTAATCTTCTTGTGGAGAAATTTGGAATCATAGTAATGGTCATGATATGAGAGTTTATGGATGAAAATTAGCATTCTGCTGGATGATTTGAATTGGTTTTGTACTTACCTCAAGTTTCTCCTGTGCTTATTAATTTGAGCCAGGCTGCAAATGAAAATGATGAAGATGATGATGACGATGAAGAGGATGATGAAATTGCTGATGATAGAATGGGGCAGAGCGATACAACAAGCATGATGGTTGATGCACCAACAAGCCAGTCAAACTCTAATTCTGTAGCCATGCCAGTTAACAAGCCAAGATTGGAACAAGCTGCTGAAGCTGGAGATGGTTGGACGGTAGTTTCATCCAGACGGAACCGGAGTAAAAAGAATTAAATTACGTTTGTCACTCATTGCCATGGGTCGATCAGATTCTGTACATGACTCGCCTCCTCCATTCCAACTTATTTCTCTTACATGTGGGTTCTCGAGGCACATATAGGGGTGCAAAATTATATTATCTATAAAGGTCTATTATGTTTACACAGTTTTGGTCTGGAAGAAATTATATTGTACTACTTGGTAGCTGAATTATGAGGGTTGAGAATCATGTTTTACTTTTTGTATTCTTGCCCAGTTTTGACATTCCTGGACTATTTTTCTGTGGAAGCAAATTCTACAGGTGTTGGTCAATGTTGAAATGAATTTTGATCTCTAACAAAGAAAGTGTTGGACCAATTTTCTAACTGATGTGTTCTTTCCCAGAAATGTACTTCATGTTAAAAATTTGGTGATATGTACACACACACATACATATATATAGCAGCCTGAAAAATTCGCAGCATATGAACCTTCTAATTAGCACAATGGGTTGATTTTTCCTCCCTTAGATTTCATTTTTGTCTGAACCAGAAAAGCATTAAGCATGTTTTTATGCTTTGGGTAAACTCAGTTTTTGGTCAGGTTTATAAATAGTTTGATTCTAGAAATTAAAGTGTCTCTCTCTCTCTCTCTCTCTCTCTCTCTCTCTCAAACTTCATCTCAATGAGTTTTAGGATTGTTGGAAAAATGTTTTTAGAGCAGCAAAGTGCTTAAAAGTTACATTAAAATTTTTACTTTTAAAAAACAAGTAGTTATATATTTGATAAAATGTTTATTGTAAAATATAAATAATTTATTTTTGGTAACAAAATAATAAATATATTTCTTATAAACATTTAGTTGTACTTCCTCAAAATTGTTTTTAATAATAAAAATAAGCATTATATTTTTAGAAAATATAGATATTGACATAAGAGTGCTTAAAATTGCTTATAAGCACTAAATAAATCCAAAAGGTCCTTTTAACAAAAACCTCACAAACTTGTTTGCAATCATCTTGATGTCAACACAAAAATATTCTTTCACTACCAACAATTTTATCAAATCCCACAACATGATCCTTTGCTGGTTTAAAAATTTTTATTTTTCACTTAAAAGTCATTATAAGAAACTTTTATATTGAAATTATTTTTTATTGAATTTAACACATTTTAAAAAAAAGAAAGACAACAACGGGTTAGAGGTACATACCATTATGAGATGATACAATCATAGCGTGAATGAGAGACCCCTTGAAAAAAAAATTTAATTCTCTTACTTTTTTTCTCTATCTAAGTATTATGTACAAAATTTTGTAATTTAGGTTGATGGAAAACATAAATTCTCCTTTTATAGATGAAAAGAGAGGTCAAAGTACATTTAAAATAGTTGAATGTGTTGATAACCGTTTTTATTATTATAGATTAATACCCATAAAATACAATAATTTTATAATTTATTTTAAAATTACTTTCTATATATGTATTTTTTCTTTTATAACGGTTATCTATTATTTTGAGAGTTCTTTAAATTGGTTTCAATCGTTATAAGTGGATGAAAAAATAAAATACTATGTTAGTGAGTCATCCACTTAATTGCTGAAATTAACATTCTCTCACTTGACCCAAAAAATCAATTATGAAAACTATAATATACACATATACATTTTATACTAAAATATATTTATTGGTAAAATAAATTTGATACGTGATTGCAATAAAATCATTCAACAAGTTCAAAATTATTATGTCATAATACTGAAATAACTTACATTATAAATGTAAATCATAACGGTCACATGACTTTAATGTTACATTTTCTTCTATACACCACATACCAATAACCTTTACTAATTCAGTCCACAATGCCAAAATAGCCTCTATATTTTATCTTTTCAAGACATTCCTTATTGATTAAACACTAAATTGTGCACTCATGATTAAAAACAGAAAATAACAAAAACAAACTTTAATGTACAAAATCTCAATTATTCAATCATTGAAATATCCATTGTCATATTATGAATTACTTAAAAGATCTAACCTCATAACATGTTCTGCATATGTCTTTGGAGGTAATCATTTAGTCAGTGGATTGACAATCATAAGTGTGTTACTAATATTTTCAATCGATACTTGTTGTTTCTAGGCTTTTTCTTTAAAAATTAGATACTTTAAATTCATGTTTTTGGATCTAGTAGAATATTTATCATTCTAAGAGAAGAAAATAGTTGCAGTATCATCACAAAATATTTTCAGCGACTATGTAATAGAGTCAACAACACCAAGTTCTTAAATAAAATTCCGCAACCACAAAGCATGACTTGAGGCTTCAAAACATGCTATAAACTTAGTCATCATTGTGGATGAGGCAGTAATAGACTACTTTACACTCTTATACGAAATTGCCCCATTTACTAGCATAAAGACAAAACTTGAAGTAGACTTTAAGCTATTACGACAACCTCTATTGAAAATACTCATAACTTTTTTTTATAGCTTTCTAGTGTCCAATTCCTGGATCACTTTAATATCTTCCCAACATG